GGGGGGAGCTCCTGGGGTAACTGGGAACGGGGGTGGAGTCCCTGGGTAACTGGGAACAGGGGGTGCTGGGATAACTGGGAATGGGGGGGGAAGGGATAACTGGGAATGGGGGGGGAGCTCCTGGGGTAACTGGGAATGGGGGGGGAGCTCCTGGGGTAACTGGGACCGGGGGGTGCTGGGATAACTGGGAATGGGGGGGGAGCTCCTGGGGTAACTGGGAATGGGGGGGAGGAGCTCCTGGGATAACTGGGAATGGGGGGGAAGGGAGCTGGGATCCATGGAAGGGGATGGGTCCATGGAAGGGGATGGATGGGAACCATGGAAGGGGGTGGGTGGGATCCATGGGGATGGGTGGGATCCATGGAAGGGGATGGGTGGGATCCATGGAAGGGGGTGGGTGGGATCCATGGAAGGGGATGGATGGGATCCATGGAAGGGGATGGGTGGGATCCATGGAAGGGGATGGGTGGGATCCATGGAAGGGGATGGGTGGGATCCATGGGATCCATGGAAGGGGGTGGATGGGGTCCATGGAAGGGGGTGGGTGGGATCCATGGGGATGGGTGGGATCCATGGGATCCATGGAAGGGGATGGATGGGATCCATGGAATGGGATGGGTGGGATCCATGGGATCCATGGAAGGGGGTGGGTGGGATCCATGGGATCCATGGAAGGGGATGGGTGGGATCCATGGAAGGAAGGGGATGGATGGGATCCATGGGATCCATGGAAGGGGATGGGTGGGATCCATGGAAGGGGATGGGTGGGATCCATGGAAGGGGGTGGGTGGGATCCATGGGATCCATGGAAGGGGGTGGATGGGATCCATGGAAGGGGATGGGTGGGATCCATGGGGATGGGTGGGATCCATGGAAGGGGATGGATGGGATCCATGGGATCCATGGAAGGGGATGGGTGGGATCCATGGAAGGGGATGGATGGGATCCATGGGGATGGGTGGGATCCATGGAAGGGGGTGGATGGGATCCATGGGGATGGGTGGGATCCATGGAAGGGGGTGGATGGGATCCATGGGGTCCATGGAAGGGGGTGAATGGGATCCATGGAAGGGGATGGGTGGGATCCATGGAAGGGGGTGGGTGGGATCCATGGGATCCATGGAAGGGGGTGGATGGGATCCATGGACGTGGATGGGTGGGATCCATGGGGATGGGTGGGATACATGGAAGTGGATGGATGGGATCCATGGGATCCATGGAAGGGGATGGGTGGGATCCATGGAAGGGGATGGATGGGATCCATGGGGATGGGTGGGATCCATGGAAGGGGGTGGATGGGATCCATGGGGATGGGTGGGATCCATGGAAGGGGGTGGATGGGATCCATGGGGTCCATGGAAGGGGGTGAATGGGATCCATGGAAGGGGATGGGTGGGATCCATGGAAGGGGGTGGGTGGGATCCATGGGATCCATGGAAGGGGGTGGGTGGGATCCATGGGATCCATGGAAGGGGATGGATGGGATCCATGGGGATGGGTGGGATCCATGGAAGGGGATGGATGGGATCCATGGGATCCATGGAAGGGGATGGGTGGGATCCATGGAAGGGGATGGGTGGGATCCATGGGGTCCATGGAAGGGGGTGGGTGGGATCCATGGAAGGGGATGGGTGGGATCCATGGGGTCCATGGAAGGGGGTGGCCGGGCAGGGTCCCCCCCCAGGCCCCGTTGCCCCCAACCTGCCCCATTGCCCCCGGTGCCGTGGGGCCGCAGCTGGAAGGACGGGCTGGCCTTCAACGCGCTCATCCACCGCCACCGCCCGGAGCTCATCGAGTACGACAAGCTCCGCAAGGTGGGAATGCCGCATCCCCCCCATTGGGAATGCCACCCCCCCACATTGGGAATGCCGCATCCCCCCCCCCATTGGGAATGCCGCATCCCCCCCCCACATTGGGAATGTCGCATCCCCCCCCCACATTGGGAATGTCACCCCCCCCCCATTGGGAATGCCGCATCCCCCCCCCCCCCCATTGGGAATGTCACCCCCCCCCATTGGGAATGTCACATCCCCCCCCCCCCATTGGGAATGTCACCCCCCCCAACCATTGGGAATGCCGATATCCACCCCCCCCATTGGGAATGTCACCCCCCCCCCATTGGGAATGTCACATCCCCCCCCCCCATTGGGAATGTCACATCCCCCCCCCCCAACCATTGGGAATGCCGATATCCACCCCCCCCATTGGGAATGTCACCCCCAGCCATTGGGAATGCCAACAACCCCCCCCCCATTGGGAATGTCACCCCCCCCCATTGGGAATGCCACACCCCAACCAATGGGAATGTCAACATCCCCCCCCCCCATTGGGAATGCCAACGTCCCACCCCCCATTGGGAATGCCAACACCCCTCCCATTGGGAATGCCAACATCCACCCCCATTGGGAATGTCACCCCCACCCCCATTGGGAATGCCGACAGCCCCGCCCCCCGGGAATGCCAACAACCCCCCCCCATTGGGAATGCCAACACCCCCCAACCCCATTGGGAATGCCGACACCTCCCCCATTGGGAATGTCGACACCCCCCCCATTGGGATGCCCAACGGCCCTGCCCTCCCCAGGACGACCCCGTCACCAACCTCAACAACGCCTTCGAGGTGGCCGAGAAGTACCTGGACATCCCCAAGATGCTCGACGCCGAGGGTGAGGGGCCGGCGCTTGCCATGGGGAGGAGCCCAACCAAGGAGCTCCAATCATTGACGTGGCCCCATTGGCCACCATGGAAGGGCCACTGTGGTGGCCAACTCTTGGCCATGGGGGGCTTCGGGAGGACCCCAACCAAGGAGGTCCAACCATAGACGTGGGGTCATGGAGGTGGTCCCATTGGCCACCATGGAAGGGCCGCCGCGGTGGCCAAGTCTTGGCCATGGGGGGCTTCAAGAGGACCTCAACCCAAGGAGGTCCAACCATGGAGGTGGTCCCATTGGCCACCATGGAAGGGCCGCCGCGGTGGCCAAGTCTTGGCCATGGGGGGCTTCAAGAGGACCTCAACCAAGGAGGTCCAACCATGGACGTGGCCCCATTGGCCACCATGGAAGGGCTGCCGCGATGGCCAAGTCTTGGCCATGGGGGGCTTCAAGAAGACCTCAACCAAGGAGGTCCAACCATTGACGTGGGGTCATGGAGGTGGCCCCATTGGCCACCATGGAAGAGCCACTGTGGTGGCCAACTCTTGCCCGTAGAGGTCTTAAGGACTCCAAGCTTGGAGGTGACCCCATTGGCCACCATGGAAGGGCCGCCGCAGTGGCCACCTCTTGGCCATTGAGGTGTTTGGGAGAACTTCAACCAAGGAGGTCCAACCATAGAGGTGGAGCAATGGAAGAGCCACCATGGTGGCCACCTCTTGGCCATTGAGGTCTTTTGGCGGACCTCTACCAAGGAGGTCCAACCATAGAGGTGGAGCAATGGAAGAGCCACCTTGGTGGCCAACTCTTGGCCATAGAGGTCTTCAAGAAGACCTCAACCAAGGAGGTCCAACCATGGAGGTGGAGCAATGGAAGAGCCACCGTGGTGGCCAGCTCTTGGCCATAGAGGTCTTCAAGAAGACCTCAACCCAAGGAGGTCCAACCATGGAGGTGGCCCCATTGGCCACCATGGAAGAGCTGCAGTCCCTGTGGGGCTCAGCCCCGTTGCTGTGGGTCGCTGTGGGGCTCAGCCCCGTTGCTGTGGGTCGCTGTGGGGCTCAGCCCCGTCGCTGTGGGTCGCTGTGGGGCTCAGCCCCGTCGCTGTGGGGCTCAGCCCCGTTGCTGTGGGTCGCTGTGGGGCTCAGCCCCGTTGCTGTGGGTCGCTGTGGGGCTCAGCCCCGTTGCTGTGGGGCTCAGCCCCGTTGCTGTGGGTCGCTGTGGGGCTCAGCCCCGTCGCTGTGGGTCCCTGTGGGGCTCAGCCCCGTTGCTGTGGGGCTCAGCCCCGTTGCTGTGGGTCACTGTGGGGCTCAGCCCCGTTGCTGTGGGTCGCTGTGGGGCTCAGCCCCGTTGCTGTGGGGCTCAGCCCCGTTGCTGTGGGTCGCTGTGGGGCTCAGCCCCGTCGCTGTGGGTCGCTGTGGGGCTCAGCCCCGTTGCTGTGGGGCTCAGCCCCGTTGCTGTGGGTCGCTGTGGGGCTCAGCCCCGTTGCTGTGGGTCGCTGTGGGGCTCAGCCCCGTTGCTGTGGGGCTCAGCCCCGTCGCTGTGGGGCTCAGCCCCATCGCTGTGGGTCGCTGTGGGGCTCAGCCCCGTTGCTGTGGGGCTCAGCCCCGTCGCTGTGGGTCGCTGTGGGGCTCAGCCCCGTTGCTGTGGGTCGCTGTGGGGCTCAGCCCCATCGCTGTGGGTCGCTGTGGGGCTCAGCCCCGTTGCTGTGGGGCTCAGCCCCGTCGCTGTGGGTCGCTGTGGGGCTCAGCCCCGTTGCTGTGGGTCGCTGTGGGGCTCAGCCCCGTTGCTGTGGGTCGCTGTGGGGCTCAGCCCCATCGCTGTGGGTCGCTGTGGGGCTCAGCCCCGTTGCTGTGGGGCTCAGCCCCGTCGCTGTGGGTCGCTGTGGGGCTCAGCCCCGTTGCTGTGGGTCGCTGTGGGGCTCAGCCCCGTTGCTGTGGGTCGCTGTGGGGCTCAGCCCCGTTGCTGTGGGGCTCAGCCCCGTTGCTGTGGGTCGCTGTGGGGCTCAGCCCCGTTGCTGTGGGGCTCAGCCCCGTTGCTGTGGGGCTCAGCCCCGTTGCTGTGGGTCGCTGTGGGGCTCAGCCCCGTTGCTGTGGGTCGCTGTGGGGCTCAGCCCCGTTGCTGTGGGGCTCAGCCCCGTTGCTGTGGGGCTCAGCCCCGTTGCTGTGGGTCGCTGTGGGGCTCAGCCCCGTTGCTGTGGGTCGCTGTGGGGCTCAGCCCCGTCGCTGTGGGTCGCTGTGGGGCTCACCCCACTGCTCCCTCTCCCCACAGACATCGTGGGCACGCTGCGGCCGGACGAGAAGGCCATCATGACCTACGTGTCCTGCTTCTACCACGCCTTCTCGGGGGCACAGAAGGTGAGCGGGGATGAACTGGGTTTGACTGGGATTGAACTGGTTTGAACTGGTTTGAACTGGGTTTAACTGGGATTGACTGGGATTGAACTGGTTTGAACTGGTTTGAACTGGGTTTAACTGGGATTGACTGGGATTGAACTGGTTTGAACTGGTTTGAACTGGGTTTAACTGGGATTGAACTGGTTTGAACTGGGTTTAACTGGGTTTGAACTGGGTTTAACTGGGTTTAACTGGGATTGAACTGGGTTTGAACTGGGTTTGAACTGGGTTTGAGCTGGGTTTGAGCTGGGTTTGAACTGGGTTTGAATTGGTTTGAACTGGGTTTGAACTGGGTTTAACTGGGTTTGAACTGGTTTGAACTGGGTTTAACTGGGTTTAACTGGGTTTGAACTGGGTTTAACTGGGTTTAACTGGGTTTAACTGGGTTTGAACTGGGTTTAACTGGGTTTAACTGGGTTTGAACTGGTTTGAACTTGGTTTAACTGGGTTTGAACTGGGTTTAACTGGGTTTAACTGGGTTTGAACTGGTTTGAACTGGGTTTAACTGGGTTTGAACTGGTTTGAACTGGGTTTGAGCTGGGTTTAACTGGGTTTGAACTGGTTTGAACTGGTTTGAACTGGTTTGAACTGGTTTGAACTGGGTTTAACTGGGTTTGAACTGGGTTTGACTGGGTTTAACTGGGTTTAACTGGGTTTGAACTGGGTTTAACTGGGTTTGAACTGGGTTTAACTGGGTTTAACTGGGTTTGAACTGGTTTGAACTTGGTTTAACTGGGTTTGAACTGGGTTTAACTGGGTTTAACTGGGATTGAACTGGTTTGAACTGGGTTTAACTGGGTTTGAACTGGTTTGAACTGGGTTTGAACTGGTTTGAACTGGTTTGAACTGGGTTTGAACTGGTTTGAACTGGTTTGAACTGGGTTTAACTGGGTTTGAACTGGGTTTGACTGGGTTTAACTGGGTTTAACTGGGTTTGAACTGGGTTTGAACTGGGTTTGAACTGGTTTGAACTGGTTTGAACTGGGTTTGAACTGGGTTTGAACTGGGTTTGAACTGGGTTTGAACTGGGTTTGAACTGGGTTTAACTGGGTTTAACTGGGTTTGAACTGGGTTTGAACTGGTTTGAACTGGGTTTGAACTGGGTTTAACTGGGTTTGACTGGGATGGGGATGGGATGGAGCCTTCATCCCCATCTCCTCCTGCTCCTGTCAGGCCGAGACGGCCGCCAACCGGATCTGCAAGGTCCTGGCCGTGAACCAGGAGAACGAGCTCCTCATGGAGGACTACGAGAAACTGGCGTCGGATGTGAGGCACCGGCACCCGTCCCCCCACATCCCCATCCCCATCCCCATCCCATCATCCTCATCCTCATCCCAACCCCATCCCATTCCCATCCCATCATCATCATCATCCCATCCCCATCCCATCATCATCATCCTCATCCCATCCCCATCCCATCCCCATCCCATCATCATCATCATCCCATCCCCCCCACCCCATCCACACCCAAACCCCATCCCCCCCATCCCATCCTCACCCCATCATCATCCTCACCCCAACCCCACCCCATCCCATCCCGTATCCCATCCCCATCCCCATCCTCATCCCATCCCTATCCCCATCCCATCCCCATCCCATCCCCACCCCATCCCCATCCCACCTCATCATCATCCTCACCTCATCATCATCCTCACCCCATCCCCTTCCCTTTCCCACCCGGTGCCGTTGCAGCTGCTGCAGTGGATCCAGTGCACCTCTCCCCCCCCATCCCCATTGCTATCCCATCCCCATCCCCCCCATCCCCACCCATCCCACTCCATCCCCACCCCATGATCCCACTCCATCCCCATTGATCCCCATTGATCCCCCTCCATCCCCATTGATCCCCATTGATCCCCCATTGATCCCCATTGATCCCCGTTGATCCCCCTCCATCCCCATTGATCCCCACTGATCCCCACTGATCCCCATTGATCCCCCTCCATCCCCACTGATCCCCATTGATCCCCACTGATCCCCATTGATCCCCCACTGATCGCCGCCGCCGTGTCGGTGCCGTTGCAGCTGCTGCAGTGGATCCAGCGCACCTCTCCCCCTCCATCCCCATTGATCCCCATTGATCCCCATTGATCCCCATTGATCCCCATTGATCCCCACTGATCCCCATTGCCGTGGCGGTGCCATTGCAGCTGCTGCAGTGGATCCAGCGCACCTCTCCCCCTCCATCCCCATTGATCCCCCTCCATCCCCATTGATCCCCCTCCATCCCCATTGATCCCCCTCCATCCCCATTGATCCCCATTGATCCCCCTCCATCCCCATTGATCCCCATTGATCCCCCTCCATCCCCATTGATCCCCCTCCATCCCCCTTGATCCCCACTGATCCCCGTGGATCCCCGTTGATCCCCCTTGATCCCCACTGATCCCCCTCCATCCCCATTGATCCCCCTCCATCCCCACTGATCCCCGTGGATCCCCGTTGATCGCCGCCGCCGTGTCGGTGCCGTTGCAGCTGCTGCAGTGGATCCAGCGCACCTCTCCCCCTCCATCCCCATTGATCCCCCTCCATCCCCATTGATCCCCACTGATCCCCACTGATCCCCATTGATCCCCACTGATCCCCATTGATCCCCCATTGATCCCCACTGACCCCCGTTGATCGCCGCCGCCGTGTCGGTGCCGTTGCAGCTGCTGCAGTGGATCCAGCGCACCTCTCCCCCTCCATCCCCACTGATCCCCATTGATCCCCCATTGATCCCCACTGATCCCCATTGATCCCCCTCCATCCCCGTGGATCCCCGTTGATCCCCGCTGCCGTGGCGGTGCCGTTGCAGCTGCTGCAGTGGATCCAGCGCACCTCTCCCCCTCCATCCCCCTTGATCCCCATTGATCCCCACTGATCCCCATTGATCCCCCATTGATCCCCATTGATCCCCACTGATCCCCCTCCATCCCCACTGATCCCCACTGATCCCCACTGACCCCCGTTGATCGCCGCTGCCGTGTCGGTGCCGTTGCAGCTGCTGCAGTGGATCCAGCACACCTCTCCCCCTCCATCCCCATTGATCCCCCTCCATCCCCATTGATCCCCATTGATCCCCATTGATCCCCCTCCATCCCCATTGATCCCCACTGATCCCCCTCCATCCCCACTGACCCCCGTTGATCGCCATTGCCGTGTCGGTGCCGTTGCAGCTGCTGCAGTGGATCCAGCGCACGCTGCCGTGGCTGGAGGCGCGCAGCCCGCAGCGCACGCTGCAGGAGATGCAGCAGAAGCTGGAGGAGTTCCGGCACTACCGCCGCGTGCACAAGCCCCCCAAGGTGCACGAGAAGGTGCAGCTCGAGATCAACTTCAACACCCTGCAGACCAAGCTGCGCCTCAGCAACCGCCCCGCGTTCATGCCCTCCGAGGGACGCATGGTGGCGGTGAGCCGGGGCGGAGGATGGAGGAGGAGGAGGGATGGTGAGGCCGGCGTTGGGGGGTGAAGGGGGTGGTGGGGAGAAGGAGGAGCAATGGGTGAGGAGGATGATGGTGGGGATGGGGAGAAGGAGGAGCATCGATGGGTGAGGAGGAGGAGGAGGAGGATGGTGGGGATGGGGAGAAGAAGGAGCATCGATGGGTGATGGGGATGGGGAGAAGGAGGAGCATCAATGGGTGAGGAGGATGATGATGATGATGATGGTGACAAGAAGGCGCATCAATGGGTGAGGAGGACAATGGTGGGGATGGGGAGAAGGAGGAGCATCAATGGGTGATGGGGATGGGGAGAAAGAGGAGCATCAATGGGTGAGGAGGATGATGGTGGGAATGGGGAGAAGGAGCATCAATGGGTGAGGATGATGATGATGGTGACAAAAGGAGCATCGATGGGTGAGGAGGACGATGGTGGGGATGGGGAGAAGAAGGAGCATCAATGGGTGATAGGGGGGAGAAGAAGGAGCATCAATGGGTGAGGAGGATGATGATGGTGGGGAGAAGAAGAAGCATCAATGGGTGATGGGGATGATGATGGTGGTGGGAAGGAGGGGACACCACAGCAGTGATGCCATTGCCACCATTGATTGATGATGATGGTGATGGTGACGATGATTGATGATGATTGATGATGCTGATGATTGATGATGATGATGATGGTGATGAGGATTGATGATGATGATGATGATGATGATTGATGATGATGGTGACCATGATTGATGATGATGATGATGATTGATCATGATGGTGATGACCATCATGATGGTGATGACGATGATTGATGATGATGGTGACAGTGATTGATGGTGATGATTGATGATGATGATGGTGATGCTGCTGCTGCTGCTGAAGATGATGATGCTGCTGCTGATGATTGATGATGATTGATGATGATGATGATGAAGATGATGGTGATGATGATGATGATGATGATGATGACGATTGATGATGATGATGATGATGATGATGATGATGATGGTGACGATGATTGATGATGACGATTGATGATGATGACGATGATGATGATGATGATGGTGATGACGCTGGGCGCGTGCCCACCCGTTGCGTGCCGCAGGACATCAACACGGGCTGGCAGCGCCTGGAGCAGGCGGAGAAGGGCTACGAGGAATGGCTCCTGAACGAGATCCGGCGCCTCGAGCGCCTCGACCACCTGGCCGAGAAGTTCCGGCAGAAGGCGTCCATCCACGAGGCCTGGACCGAAGGTACCGGCGCCGGGGGGGTCCCGGGGGATGCCTTGGAAGGGCCCTCGAAGCCCAGTGAGTTCCGCCTCAAGTGGTTCCTCCATTGCCTCTCCACGGAGCCCAACCCAACCCAATGGGTTCTCCGTGGAGCCCAACGCAATGGGTTCTCCACTGAACCCAACCCAAAGGGTTCTCCATTGAACACAACCCAATGGGTTCTCCACTGAACCCAACCCAATGGGTTCTCCATTGAACACAACACAATGGGTTCTCCATTGAACCCAACCCAATGGGTTCTCCATTGAACCCAACCCAATGGGTTCTCCATTGAACACAACCCAATGGGTTCTCCACTGAACCCAACCCAATGGGTTCTCCATTGAACACAACACAATGGGTTCTCCATTGAACCCAACCCAATGGGTTCTCCACTGAACCCAACCCAAAGGGTTCTCCATTGAACACAACCCAATGGGTTCTCCACTGAACCCAACCCAACCCAATGGGTTCTCCATTGAACCCAACCCAACCAATGGGTTCTCCATTGAACTCAACCCACCCCAATGGGTTCTCCATTGATCCCAACCCAATGGGTTCTCCATTGAACCAACCCAATGGGTTCTCCATTGAACCCAACCCAACCAATGGGTTCTCCATTGATCCCAACCCAACCAATGAGTTCTCCATTGATCCAAACCCATTGGGTTCTCCACTGAACACAACCCAACCAAGGAGTTCTCCATTGATCCCAACCCAATGGGTTCTCCATGGATCCCAACCAAGGAGTTCTCCATTGATCCCAACCCAATGGGTTCTCCACTGAACACAACCCAACCAGTGAGTTCTCCATTGATCCCAACCCAACGGGTTCTCCATTGATCCCAACCCAACCAATGAGTTCTCAATTGATCCCAACCAATGGGTTCTTCAAGGATCCCAACCCAGTGGGTTCTCCGTTGATCCCAACCCAACCAATGAGTTCTCCGTTGATCCCAACCCAACCAATGGCTTCTCCATTGATCCCAACCCATTGGGTTCTCCACTGAACCCAACCCAACCAAGGGGTTCTCCATTGATCCCAACCCAACCCAATGGCTTCTCCATTGAACCCAACCCATTGGGTTCTCCACTGAACCCAACCCAACCAATGGGTTCTCCATTGATCCCAACCCAACCCAATGGGTTCTCCATTGAACCCAACCCAACCAATGGGTTCTCCATTGATCCCAACCCAACCCAATGGGTTCTCCATTGAACCCAACCCAACCAATGGGTTCTCCATTGATCCCAACCCAACCCAATGGCTTCTCCATTGATCCCAACCCAACCCAATGGCTTCTCCATTGATCCCAACCCATTGGGTTCTCCATTGATCCCAACCCAACCAATGAGTTCTTCATTGCACCCAACCCAATGGGTTCTCCATTGAACCCAACCCATTGGGTTCTCCGCTGAACCCAACCCAACCCATTGGGTTCTCCACTGAACCCAACCCAGCCAAGGGGTTCTCCATGGAGGGGAAGGGCTCTGGGCTCCGTGCTGACGGCCCCGTGTCCGCAGGGAAGGAGGCCCTGCTGCAGCAGAAGGACTTCGAGGCGGCCTCGCTCTCCGACATCAAGGCCCTGCTCCGGAAGCACGAGGCCTTCGAGAGCGACCTGGCCGCGCACCAGGACCGCGTGGAGCAGATCGCGGCCATCGCCCAGGAGCTCAAGTACGGCCCCATGGAGCCCTGGGAATGGGGTTGGGATGCAAGGGACGGGGATGCCCATGGGGTTCTGACCCATAGGGACACCTTCCATAGGGGGCATTGCTCCAACCTGGCCTTAGGTGCTCCCAAGGAAGGTTCCTCCAAGCCTTCTCCATCAACCCCGTGTCCCATCCGAGTCTTCCATTGGGAGCCAACCTTCCCATGGTGGAAGGCTTCATCTGCCCCATGGAACCATGGGAATGGGGTTGGGATGCAAGGGACGGGGATGCCCATGGGGTTCTGACCCATAGGGACACCTTCCATAGGGGGCATTGCTCCAACCTGGCCTTAGGTGCTCCAAAGGAAGGTTCCTCCTCCCATCCAAGTCTTCCACTGGAGGCTTCCCCCCATGCCATGGTCGAGGGCTCCATCTGCCCCATGGAACCCTGGGGATGGGGTTGGGATGGAAGGGCCCTGGGTGCCCATGGGGTTCTGACCCATAGGGACACCTTCCATAGGGGGCATTGCTCCAACCTGGCCTCAGGTGCTCCCAAGGAAGGTTCCTCCAAGCCTTCTCCATCAACCCCGTGTCCCATCCGAGTCTTCCATTGGGAGCCAACCTTCCCATGGTGGAAGGCTTTATCTGCCCCATGGAACCATGGGAATGGGGTTGGGATGGAAGGGCCCTGGGTGCCCATGGGGTTCTGACCCATAGGGCCACCTTCCATAGGGGGCATTGCTCCAACCTGGCCTCAGGTGCTCCCAAGGAAGGTTCCTCCTCCCATCCAAGTCTTCCATTGGAGGTTTCCCCCCATGCCATGGTCGACGGCTCCATCTGCCCCATGGAACCCTGGGAATGGGGTTGGGATGGAAGGGACGGGGATGCCCATGGGGTTCTGACCCATAGGGACACCTTCCATAGGGGGCATTGCTCCAATCTGGCCTTAGGTGCTCCAAAGGAAGGTTCCTCAACCCTGTGTCCCATCCAAGTCTTCCATTGGGAGTTTCCCCCATGCCATGGTCGAGGGCTCCATCTGCCCCATGGAACCCTGGGGATGGGGTTGGGATGGAAGGGACGGGGATGCCCATGGGGTTCTGACCCATAGGGACACCTTCCATAGGGGGCATTGCTCCAACCTGGCCTCAGGTGCTCCCAAGGAAGGTTCCTCCAAGCCTTCGCCATCAACCCCGTGTCCCATCCGAGTCTTCCATTGGGAGCCAACCTTCCCATGGTGGAAGGCTTCATCTGCCCCATGGAACCATGGGAATGGGGTTGGGATGGAAGGGCCCTGGGTGCCCATGGGGTTCTGACCCATAGGGACACCTTCCCTAGGGGGCATTGCTCCAACCTGGCCTTAGGTGCTCCGAAGGAAGGTTCCTCCTCCCATCCAAATCTTCCATTGGAGGCTTCCCCCCATGCCATGGTCGAGGGCTCCATCTGCCCCATGGAACCCTGGGGATGGGGTTGGAATGGAAGGGCCCTGGGTGCCCATGGGGTTCTGACCCATAGGGAACCTTCCCTAGGGGGCCTTGCTCCAGTCCCGCCGCTCCCGTTGTCCTTCCCCATGGCGTAACGCGGCTCCATCCATCCCTAAAGGGGGCCAGCGCGAGCCAAGGCCGTGACCGGAGCCCCTGTTGCTCCCGGGGTACCCCGGCAATGGGCTTCTCCCCATTGCATAGGGCACCCCCCTCCCTCCCCACACCTTATTCCTGCCCCCCGCCCCACCGCAGCGAGCTGGATTACCACGACTCGCCCAGCGTCAACGCGCGGTGCCAGAAGATCTGCGACCAATGGGACGTGCTGGGCTCCTTGACCCACAGCCGGAGGGAAGCCCTGGAGGTGAGCGGGATGCGTGCCGGTGGGTCCCACCCCACGTTCCCAATGGGGTCTGGAGCTCTTAACCCCCCCCCATTGGCTCCCTGGCAGCAAACGGAGAAGCACTTGGAGAGCATCGACGAGCTCCACTTGGAGTACGCCAAGCGAGCAGCGCCCTTCAACAACTGGATGGAGAGCGCCATGGAGGACCTGCAGGACATGTTCATCGTGCACACCATCGAGGAGATCCAGGTGGGAAGGGCTCGGCGGCGGGGTCGGGCTCAGCCCCACGGGTGAGCCCGTGCCCATGGAAGTGGGGGTGTCCTCGGCAGGGCCTCATCGCCGCGCACGACCAGTTCAAGGCCACGCTGCCGGAGGCGGACAAGGAGCGCGAGGCCATCCTGGGCATCCAACGGGAAGCGCAGCGCATCGGGGAGCTCCATGGGATCAAGGGGGCCGGGAGCAACCCCTACACCTCGGTCACCCCACACATCATCAACTCCAAGTGGGAGCGGGTGAGGGGGGCAGAGCCAGCCCCTTCCGTAGGGCAGCTTCATCCAGGCCTTCCCCATCGGGCCCCTTGCTTCCCGGGATCCCCACTCTTCCATGGGAAGCTTCCACCCGTCCCGTGGTGGGAAGCTCCATGGTTGAGTCCTGACCCATAGAGACCCTTCCATAAGGCAGCTTCATCCAGGTCTTCCCCATCGGGCCCCTTGCTTCCCGGGATCCCCACTCTTCCATTGGAAGCTTCCACCCGTCCCGTGGTGGGAAGCTCCATGGTTGAGTCCTGACCCATAGAGACCCTTCCGTAGGGCAGCTTCATCCAGGCCTTCCCCATCGGGCCCCTTGCTTCCCGGGATCTCCACTCTTCCATGGGAAGATTCCACCCGTCCCGTGGTGGGAAGCTCCATGGTTGAGTCCTGACCCATAGAGACCCATCCGTAGGGCAGCTTCATCCAGGCATTCCCCATTGGGCCCGTTGCTTCCCGGGATCCCCACTCTTCCATGGGAAGCTTCCACCCGTCCCGTGGTGGGAGGCCCCATGGAACCATGGGGTTGGGATGGAAAGGACCTCGATGGCCATGGAGTCCTGACCCATAGAGACCCATCCGTAGGGAAATGCTCATCCAGGCCTTCTCCATCGAGCCCATTGCTTCCCAAGATCCCAGCTCTTCCATTGGAGGCTTCCATCCAGCCCAAAGCCCTTCCTCTCCGGGGGGGCTCCATGGAGAACCCCTTGGTTGGGTTGTGTTCAATGGAGAACTCGTTGGTTGGGCTCAACGGAGAAGCCATTGGGTTGGGCTCAACGGAGAAGCCATTGGGTTGGGCTCAACGGAGAAGCCATTGGGTTGGGCTCAACGGAGAAGCCATTGGGTTGGGATCCATGGAGAAGCCATTGGGTTGGGATCCATGGAGAACCCATTGGGTTGGGATCCATGGAGAACCCCTTGGGTTGGGCTCAACGGAGAAGCCATTGGGTTGGGATCCATGGAGAACCCCTTGGGTTGGGATCAATGGAGAACCCCTTGGGTTGGGCTCAATGGAGAACCCCTTGGGTTGGGATCCATGGAGAAGCCATTGGGTTGGGCTCAATGGAGAACCCCTTGGGTTGGGCTCAATGGAGAACCCATTGGGTTGGGATCCATGGAGAACCCCTTGGGTTGGGCTCAATGGAGAACCCCTTGGGTTGGGATCCATGGAGAACCCATAGAGACCCCTTCCATGGGGTAAAGCTCATCGAGGCCTTCTCCATTGGGCCCATTGCTTCCCAAGATCCCAACTCTTCCATGGGAACCTTCCACCCGTCCCATGCTGATGCCTTCCACGGCCCCACCGCCCCCATCCCTTCCCCATTGCCCCCCTCCCTGCCCCATTGCCCCCATCCCTTCCCCATTGCCCCCCTCCCTGCCCCACCGCCCCCATCCCTTCCCCATTGCCCCCATCCCTGCCCCACCGGCCCCATGCCCACGGCATCCCCGTATCCGGGTGCTCAGGTGCAGGCGCTGGTGCCCCGGCGGGACCAGGCTCTGCAGGAGGAGCAGAGCAAGCAGGAGTCCA